ATAAGTGGACCCGAGAGGAAGCGACAAGACTTCTTAAAAAGGCACATAAGGCTCCCTTTACGTATCAAGATGGCTTCCGCTGCCATATATGCAATGCAGAATTTGACTCGCGCTTCCTTCTGGTGGGCCACTTGCAGAGCCATCAGCCCCAGCTGCCAGTGGAGGCGGCGAAAGACGCCAAACGGCGGAGAGACGAGGTCGACCCAAAGCAGCATCAACTGCGGTGTCCGGGATGTCCCAAAAAGTTCATTCTGAAGGGGTTTCTGCATCGGCATATGACAAGGTGTCACCCGAACAGAACCTTTACGGACGCCACCGTAGTTCGGGAACAAGTCCCTCCCGCTCCGCCCACCGTCTCTCAGAATCCGCTCCACTGCCCAAAGTGTAATCGTACATTTGGGTGCAAAGCGTGGGTGACGCGGCACAAGTGCACGCCGTCTCGTGCAAGTCCAGCAGAGGAAGGAGAGAGCGAGGCAGGAGTAGTCGCATCGTCAACTGAGCAATCTCCATGCCCCATCTGTGGTAACGAATATCCCCGGATCCGGATGCATCGGCATCTCCAAATGACCCACCCAGACTATACTGCGGGGGCCAATACGGATCCTGTCAGTAGCATTAAACGTGAGCCGGAGGAGGATACAGCAGGATCCCCTGAGCCTACTGCGCTCCCTGCTGCATCCCGGAATCCATTATTCTGCACCACGTGCAAACGCACCCTCAAAAGCAAGTCGGGGTTTGCCACTCATAAGTGTAAAATTGTCGCAGTAACGTACACACCGTCACAGCCGGGCACCTTCGGCAAAACACACTGTGAGTGTCCTCTCTGTGGCCAGCGAGTAGTGAGTCACTGGTTCAGCCGACACCTGAGAGAGAAACATCCGGGTCACCAAAGCGATGTGATTGCGATCCCTCTCCAGCGTGCCAAACGTGCCAGAGACTCTGACGATGATGATGAGGGCAAGACTGCACTTGTGCAGAAGCGGATGGATGCGTCTAGAGGATTAGATTCTACACACGAGGCAGGCTATACAGATGATGCGTGGCTACGAGGGCACCACAAGCAAGGAAATTCCTCCTTGGTCTGTGCGCGCTGTGGCGTCACGTACATGCGGCTGGGGTCTCTAGTTCGCCACACTCGACGTCACCATAAGGACAGCAAAGTAGCGCAGATACGTCTTGAGGACGGGTCCCTCCTTTTCCATGATATGGGTGACCGGGAGTTTCAATGCCCACACTGCCCCCTGAAGAGCACATAACGAGGCGGACTCAGCAGGCATATTAAGGCAGCCCATGGGTCTTCAGAACAGGAGTCGCGCCGCAATGTGCTGAAGTATGCTTGTGAGGAATCGTCGGTCCACTTATTGGAGTGCCCCGCTTTGAGAGAGCTACGGATTAGCTGCGGCCTCGAGGAGTTATCAAGAGAGAAACAGCTCAGCAGTGACAAGCTGGCAGTATTCCTCTGCCGACTCTTCCAATTACCGTGCCCGTTGAAGAACTCCGTGCCGATCTCTCGCGGGGTGGATGCATCCGCCACCCAGAGTGAGCTGCGGTACGGCCCTACATTACCCCCCTCTTCTAGGTTATTGTTTTCTTATTTTACAACTCTCCCCTCTCGCTCTCCTTCAAAAACCGCGTCATCACAGCTGGAAACAGAAGCCCCACCTCTGTCGTCCGCAGAAACCAATAAGAGTCCTTCGGCGGTACCTATCCCGAGCATCCGAGCATCCGGGAAGAAACGATCGGGAAGTATGTTTGGCGTCCCCGCGCGCGCCTACCCTAGAGCAAGAACGGAGGTGGGGGGTACTGATGGTAGAGCACGTGCAGGGTAAACGCACACTGAAAACAAACAAACAAACCGCCCACGTTGTCGATGTTGGGCCGGTGTCGGACGCAAGCAAGCACGCCACCGGCAGTGCCCTGTTGCACACGGGCGGGAAGGAACTGATCTCCCTGCAGGAGCTGTATTCTGTGGCGGGGGGCGCCGTGGGGGTGTTTGACGGCCTCTACCTTGCCCGCCTGACGGACATGGCGGAGCGGGTGAAGTCGGTGGTACGGGCCTGGAGGGAGACCGACAGTAACCTCCCGATGGCATGCACCCAACCGGTGAAATCGGCGGCAGCGGAAGGCGACTGCGGCGTTCCGATGCCCGCAGCCGGGCTGGTCGGCTTTTTGCTGGCACCGTGGCCGACGGCCAGTGGAAGGACGAGTA